GTGCGATTAGATGCACCGCCACCACCGTCGCCTGACTTGTGATCATCATCATCATCAGCAGCAGCAACAGGAGGAGCACATGCAGCGGCAAATCGCTCATTGTCACCTTTTTCTCCACTCTCTTCTTCCCGGCAATTGTCATCCTCATTTGTCGTAGTGATGTTCACTTTCCATTTCTCTTCATTTTGTCATTTTTTTATAACTCTTTGCATATGCCCCTCATCGTCTGATGACGATCGCTATCTTGCTGTTTGTTTTCTTGATACTGCACCTACTGTCTTTAGAAGAGGCCTTTTACTGACTTTAATTTTGTTTTTGTTCTCCTTGAAGGAGACTCCTTCTCTTCTTTTTTCTTTTTTTTGTTTATTTGTCTACTTTGCCTGCCGCCTATTTACCGCCTGGTCAGTCAGGCACAGCTCTCTCTCTCTTTTTCCCCTCTTTCTTTTGCATATTTCAGACGACAATCGGAAATGCGATTACCGCCGCGCTGTCTTGCGCTCTTCGCTCAAGTGTCGCTCACCCGGTTCGCTCCTTTGCCTTTTTGCTTTTTCCTTCAGTCGACTTCGGTAATCATACGGGGGATTTCGGTGAGCTGCCTTTGTCTAAAGCACTTGTGTACACAGCCTGCTGCTTGGCCAGTGCTGAACTGTGTGTGTGTGCACCAAAGTGTACGAGTGTGACGGATTACCGAGTTGAAGGAGCTACGGTAGCTTAGGCAGTGGTAGTAGTGCTCAAGTGCTCTCCTAAACTCCAAACGGACGACAAGAAGACGCTGAAGACGCTGAAGACGCTGAAGCGACTAGTAAAAACTTTCCCTTTTGGGTGTAGCAAAGTGAACTAGTAACTTCGGCTAAAAGCTCTCTTTGCTAAAGGCTTCTTCTTCTTTCTCTGATCGAGTTTTGCGTCAGGTGGTTGAGTTTGTATGTGTGAGTATTTGTTGTAGTAGGAAGTATTGGCCACTGAAGTGGCTGGCTGTCTGTTTGCTCTCTCTCTCCCTCTTTTTAAGTGAACACTAGTTGCAAGTCAATTTGACGTCGTCAAAAACGTCGTGGAGGAGCAAGCTAGTGGTGGTGGTGACAGTGCCCTCTTCAACTACCACCAAAAGGTGACGATGATGATGATGGTGATGATGGTGATTACCGGTCGATTACCGCCACCACAGTCTGAGCAACCACTGCCACCTCCACCACCACCACCACCACCACAATGACCGCCATCGTCAGGAGCTGAACGTGCGTACAAGTTAGCCAGTTTTTACTTTGATTTTTTTTCTTTTAGCACTCCAGTGCAGTGACACGCTTCAATTCAATAAGACGAAGAAGATATCTTTATGCTCTCTTAGTGAGTGCTCTTAGATTGCCGCTAATAGTATTAGCGTCAGGTGTAGNGCAGTGACACGCTTCAATTCAATAAGACGAAGAAGATATCTTTATGCTCTTAGTGAGTGCTTTTAGATTGCCGCTAATAGTATTAGCGTCAGGTGTAGGTTGATTGCATTAGCATAAAAAGGAGAAAGGAGGGAAAAAGTTCAGCTCGGTCCAGCGAGCTTATGCTGATCTTCCGATGATATAATCATTTCTTTTCCTCCCCTTTAAGATTTTGTACTGATGATTTTTCTCCGCCTTCTTTGATTACCTTCTCCCGATCTCCAGTACGGCACAGGAGCTTCACAAAAGGTACACACGGTTATTAGCTGTGCTTGTTGGCTACACTTGTAACTGCTGCTGCTGCTGAATTACAACTGATCTGCTTCTTCTGGTCTGGTCTGGTCACACAATGTCTTAGGCAGTCTTTTCCCCGTGTCCTACTGCGCCGGCATTATGCATAATGGCCGTAGATAATTGAGCGAACGGTAATCGGACAGCAGCAAAAAGAACGGGAGCTTCAAATTACCGAAGGAGAGAGAGAGAGCAGCATGGCCATTTCCGTGCACACTGTTTTCCTTGGATCAAGTGTATCAGTGTGCTTCCACTCTGCAAAAAACAAAATCAAATTGAAAATCGAGTAGCAGCAAACCGCTGCGCGTTTGATGATCTAATACTCTAGTCTAACCAGTTTTTTCCTCCTTCTCTTTCCCGATCATCGGAATGATTCAAAACGGTGTCTGATGTTGTTGATGCTGCTGGATCGACTGCGGCGTGAACACAAGCACACAAACAGATGTGTCCGCAAAAAGAAAAAGTAAAACCAAATCAGCAATGCCGGAAGAATGGCAACAACGGCAGTGTCCGGAGAGCAGTGGCGATGATGCCCGGTGGCCACTGTCAGTGGCCAGCAGTTGTTGGCCAGCAGTGTCCGAGAAANCCGGAGAGCAGTGGCGATGATGCCCGGTGGCCACTGTCAGTGGCCAGCAGTTGTTGGCCAGCAGTTGTTGGCCAGCAGTGTCCGAGAAGGGACATAATACGGCGCGTAATACCTCGCCGATACTACTGATGTAAACATCATCAGCAAAGTGTGTAGTGCCCATGCTGTCGATGCGTAACGGACTGCCCGAGCAGCGTCAATCAAATCCAATGCCAGCAAGCAGTTTTCACTCTTTCACTCTTTTCAGTCAGTCTTCTGGTAGCAGTGCGCCTGACCGGCAATTGGCCACGCGTTTGGCGGCAGGCAGCATTTTGAGACAGTTTAATTAGCAGGTGATACAACAAAGTCGGCGGCGGCAACGGCGGCAAAATAAGAACGACCAATCGGACACTGCTGATTAACGAGGCCGGTCGATGGCGGTAGCGGCGAATATTGGCACAGTAGTGGTGGTCAGCAGTAGTCAGGTGAGTGATGAGCCAGTCAGCGACAGCAGATGATGTACAAGGTGATCTTCAGTACAGCGGATGTCTTTCCCTCCCTGCCTCCCCCTCCTTTTGTTTAGTGCCTGCTTTGTGTTTTGTGCCGGTGTGAAGGAAGGAAAGCTGGCAGTTGCGTGCGCTCATGCAGTCCTCTCGACAAATGGGCATGCAAATTATAAAAAGACTCCTTCTCTTTCTCTCTGAGAGCACTTGCCCGGTCAATTAAGACTAGTGTTGCTGTTGTTGCTATTGTGAAAGGTAAAAACATAGCAATCTATCCATGTCTGTTTGTTTGATTAGATCGCTGCTGCTGCTGTTGTTTAGATCTCACTGTGCTGTCTTGTGATTTTATCAATCTCTTAATCAACCTATCACACTAGAGTTGAATGAAAATCAAGATTTGGTTGCACCTAATAAACTCTCATTCTTGCAATTTGTCAAAGTAAAATTTGATAAAAATTGTAAAAGTTACTGTGTGGTAAAAGTGATACCAAAACAGTGCTCCTAGGAAGTGGTCATGTGCACTGCAGCCATCCATTCTTGACCTATTTGGTCACCTGATTACCAATTGGCGACTGACTGCCACATCATCTCAAAGTGAGCCCTCGTGAGCAGTTTTCTCTCTCTTTCCTTTTCCAGTCAGTCGATAATTCGTCTCAAGTCGGCGCGATTCGAGGCGCTGAAGGCGCGCCAAAGCTCACTGTGTGCAAATGTGCGCCGCAGCAGCAGCATCAACTGCGGACAAGAGCAAACAGCCCAAATCGGCTGCTAAAGTGCCCCGTGCGCAAGCTCGTTGTCGGAAGCGCCCGAGGTAAAAAACCGAGTTGAGTTTTTTCGGCCGTTGTTCTCTGTCTCTGTTGCTGCTGCTACTTTAATGCAGTTCAACCCGGTGCTAATAAGTGTAACGAGGGAGAAGATGAAGGAGTTCTGCCTCCGTTGTTGTCTCAGAGAGTGAGAAAGAGAAAGTTCCCCTGAGTGATGTGTCTCGTGATTTCTGAGTGTGTGTGCACATTTGTGCTGAAAGGATTGGCGACGGTGGTGACTGTTTCGCGCAGTGCCCCTAGTCAGTGCATCACTCACTTGAGCGCCATCGAACATACAAGCACAAAAAAATGTGAACAGTTTGAACACACACACATTTATTCTGCATTATTTTGATCAGCTGATGGGCTGATTAGTGGGCAATTAGGCTGACCGGTGCACCTGGGAGAAGAGGCAAGCACTGCAACAGACCAAAAACGTAGCCACCGGCAATTCTATCAATCAAAATTTGAGAAGCAAAGAAAAGAGGAGAAAGGAGCTCTCTTTACTAGAGCATCTCTGTGAAGAAGAGGAAAGTAGATGAAGTGGCTGAAAAGCAGCAGAAAGCAGCATCAGTGTAGCAACCTGACACTGCCGCAATTAGCGGCAAATATTGCCCAAATTTGGCATGTGTGTGTGTGTGCTCAAATTTCAAAGAAAATGTGAAAGCAAGCAATTTCCAATCAAATCACCGGCATCCGCATCATTTGCATCAATTGATTAGTTGCTTTTACTTTTTTTAGCTGCCGCTTACAAACGATCGCCGTTCAGAATACTAAAAACCGGAGCCATATTTCGTACATACTGTCAACTGTGGTGTAATAAATAAGCAAAGAGGCAGCAGTTTGTCAGCACAACTGGCAGTTGTCGCAGCAGCAGTAGCAGAACTAATCGATGTCTCCTTTGCACCAGCAGTACCAGCACCAGCATCCAGTACCACTAAATCAGCGGCGACAATGTCACAACAGAACTCTCCGTGATGGCTATATAGCGGAGCTGTCAGCGGCTGCCACTGGAAAAAAAGTATGTGTGTGTGCACTGGGCAGCAGTGTAGTGTGGCGCCCAATTTGCTTGTGTTCCACTGAAATGGTCCACCAGACCGACCGAGCCATCGATCGACCGACATGCACTACTCTATGTTTTGATGCGTGTACCGCACTCTCTATGTATGTGTGCGGGTGCGGGTGAGCCACGAGCTTCAGCTTAGTGTTGGGCATCAAAACAGAAGTGTGCTGAGCGGCCATGTAGCATCGGATGAGGAGAAGGAGGCGGTGGATGTTCTTTTTTTGGTGAAGATCTGCTGCTGCTGAAGATTCGAAGGGCTTATTGAAGAAGGAAGAGGTGGAAGTGTTCGTCTGTCCTTGAGTGCCGATCATCATGCTGATGATTTACCACTTTCAGCTAGTGCTCTTGCTAATGCTACTACTGCTGTCCATCAGCCTTGATGGAACTTCCCCTTCCTCCTCGGTGGCTGCATCAGTTTACCGACAACGGCAGCAGCAGCAGCAGCCCAAGAAGATCTACACCACGAATAAGCTGCAGACGGAGATGGGCCGCAACATCACGCGCATCCTCAACTCCTTCTTCTCCTCCGGCTACGATAAGCGGGTTCGGCCGAGCTATGCGGGTAAGTGCTGAAAACGAAGCAATTTTATTGCGCTTTACAACAGCTTTTCAACTCACTCACCCCCAGACAAGCCCGTGGTGATCGGCGTCACCCTGCACATCATCTCCATCAGCTCCGTCTCCGAGGTGCAGATGGACTTCACCTGTGACTTCTACTTTCGCCAGGGCTGGCGTGACCCACGGCTCTCCTTCCACCCCAGCCCCGGCCTGAAGGCGCTCTTTGTGGGCGCCGACGTGGCGAAGCAGATCTGGGTGCCGGACACCTTTTTTGCAAATGAAAAGTCCGCCCAGTTCCACACCGCCACCACGCCCAACACCTTCATTCGCATCAAGGCCAATGGGGAGGTCTTCCGCTCTACCCGGCTCACCGTCACCAGCAGCTGTCCGATGAATTTGCAGTACTTTCCCATGGACCGGCAGTACTGCACTATCGAGGTGGAGAGCTGTAAGTGGGCTGAAAAGTGGGAATACATGCTAGTCTGACATTCAAATGTGCCTCGGACAAATACAGTTTGATTAGGGAAAAAAAGTGTGCCAATAGACCTTGACTTTTCAGCTCTGATTTATCATAGTTCAGTTCAGTTCAGTTCAGCGGCAAAAAGTGATCAAACCAGAAGTGTGTGATTTCCCGTGTGTGCGCCAGCTGTTGACACATATCAGACGCCGATAAAGTTGAACTCTGACTGACACCACTCTGAACAACAACAACAAAAACAAAACTAGCACTCGAATTTTCTTTCACTCTAACTTGACACACTTCTTTTCTCTACTTTTTACTTTTGTCGTCGTTGCTGCTTATGAACTCAAACTTCACTTTAACTCTATCTCCACCTCAGATGGCTACTCCATGGCGGACATCGTCTACCGGTGGGGCATTGAGAAGGAGGATGAGAAGGCGGCCAGCATGGGCGACGTCTCACTGCCGCAGTTCAGAGTGAAAGACCTGACGCAGGATGCCAAGGTGGAGTATCTCACCACAGGTAAGCAGTCGAGCTGAGCTTTACGTGTCAGAAGGTAATGGTGCCTGGTGCTGCTGCCTAATCTTGATCACTTGATCACCACCGGATCAATGAATGTCAGAACACTTGAAAGCTGTGGCTGCGCGCCATCACCGCCGTCACCTTCCCCACCACTTAATGATATTTCACGAGTCAGGTGTTTTGACTATCTCTTGATCTTTATCACTATCCTTTCCCTTCAACAGGCAATTACTCGCGCCTGGTCTGCAAGCTCGAGTTTGTCCGCTCCATGGGCTACTACCTCATTCAGATCTACATTCCTGCCAGTCTCATCGTCATCATCAGCTGGGTCTCCTTCTGGCTCCATCGGGTAGGACCTTTTGAGACCTTTTTTTGCTAAAAACTCAATTTTGTTTGCTCGTTCTATCAGAACGCCTCCCCCGCCCGANCCTGCCAGTCTCATCGTCATCATCAGCTGGGTCTCCTTCTGGCTCCATCGAGTAGGACCTTTTGAGACCTTTTTTGCTATAAAGATTTAACTTTGTTTGCCCTCGTTTCAACAGAACGCCTCCCCCGCCAGAGTGCAGCTGGGCGTGACGACGGTGCTGACGATGACCACGCTGATGTCTTCGACGAATGCCGCCTTGCCGAAGATCTCTTACATCAAGTCGATTGACGTCTTCCTCGGCACCTGCTTCGTCATGGTCTTTGCCGCACTTCTTGAATATGCCACTGTCGGCTACATGGGCAAGCGAATTGCCATGAGAACCTCGAAGAGCTCATCAGCCGCTCCCTCTGCATCTTCTTCTTCTGGTGCTGTTGTTGGTCAGCGGTCAAAGTTGTTGACACTGCAACAGCAGCAGCAGTTGCATCATCGAGCGGTAATGCTGAAGATGCAGGCGACGGCGGCTGCTGCCGCTGCTGGGACATCCACATCTTCAGTGAACTTTATGGAAATGGGCCAAACAGTGAACTCTTGGCATCAACAGCAGCAGCAACAACCTTTCCTCAGTCGAGTTCCACCGCCTCATTCTTATTTTGGTGGTGGTGGCGGTGGGTTCAACCACTTTAGCCCCTGGCCCAGTCTGATGCCTCGACTGCGAAGCATCAGCGCTTTCCACGACCTCCAACGCCAGGGAATGCGCTATCGAGTGACCAGTTCCGGTGGAGGTGGAAGCAGTGGCGGCGGAGGAGGAGGCACTCACCTCCTTCTCGCCACTGCATCAAACAATGGCGGCCCGGCGACGTACGATTTCGCTCGGAAAAAGATCTCCCTGGCGCCGGCGGACAGCGAACTGGGCGTCACCAGCACTGCCACGCCCAACACGCCCACGCTGAGAGACAATCCGTCCTCCTTCCACCCAGCCACTGGTGGTCCCATCTCCAGCTGCTCCTCGTCCTCTCACTCCTCCCACTCCAAAAACGCCCCCACCATTTTTGGCCTTTGTCCGTCGGACATTGACAAGATGTCTCGTGTGGTTTTTCCCATCTGCTTTCTCTGTTTTAATCTGGTTCGTGTCATAGTTTGTTGAAGGACTACATTTGTTTGCTAGAGCTTTCATAATTTCTCCTCTTTCAGGCTTACTGGATTATCTACATGCATATCAGCGAGTTTCTCAGCGTCGAGTTGGAGCGCTAAAACACTGCAACGAACAGCAAAAAGTATACAAATCAGAAACAAATCACCCTTATCACCTCTTTCTTCACAACTCTATATCCATTTACCGACCTAAGTCTTCCATTTTCCGTGCCAAACAAACAAACATTGAACAATCACGTGCTTCCACACTTTTGATGTAAAACACATGCATATCCCACTGTGTCTGTGCGTATCCTTCCATTTTTTGTGTATCCTATTCTGCTTATGAATTTTGAGTGTTATAAAAAATAATACAATAAAGAAAAATTGTACTTTTGCCTCTCACCACTTTGATGACCAAAGTAGGTAAACTGCTCTACATTTTCTGCAGTTTTTCCCGGACGGCAGCTCGGTCGTTTGTTTTACCTTTCACTTTCACTTGGCGTTTGCCAAATTGTGCTTGTGTGTGTGTTTGTGTGTGCACGAGCTTGTGTTTGTTCACATTCAATCGATAATTAGCACTGCTGCCCCTGTTTACTGAAACGCCAATGCTTTGCTTGTCTGCCTTTTCGGTAGTGCACAGCACTGGCATAGCANTGTGTGTGCACGAGCTTGTGTTTGTTCACATTTAATCGATAATTAGCACTGCTGCCCCTGTTTACTGAAACGCCAATGCTTTGCTTGTCTGCCTTTTCGGTAGTGCACAGCACTGACATAGCACTAAACAACTGAAACACTTTCACTTTCACTTTCCCCGATGAATTGAGCACGTGTGAACCTTCTTTTGAAGAGCAAAAACAAAAAGAACCTGCAAACTGCACAGTTGAGCTGTTTCACTGTTTGCTGTTGGACAAAAAACAAAAATATTGCTCCAATAGCTAGGAGAGAAAAAAAGAGAAAGAGAACAAAAGAGAAGGGAAAATGTCTCATTTGACACTGTCCAAAATGGAGTTTGGCTCTGGGAGTGTGAGTGTGTGACAAACGGAACATGAAAGTGAAAGAATGAAAGGAATCAAATAAATGACTAGTGTGTTCAAGGAAAAAGAATTAGAAAGAATCAAGAAGTAGAATGAGTAGTAGCACAGGCATGTATGAAAAAACAAAAACATCAACAGATTGAGAAGAGGAGAAAGAGAAAGTACAACACAACTTGAGAGGAGATAAAAGACTGTTAGATAGCTGATCAAATCAGAAAGAGCGAACAAAAAAAATTGAGAAATTGAGATTGAGTAGGGAAAAAACTCGATCAAAAGTGTACGAGAAGAAGAAGAGAAGAAGAAGACGAGTAGATGATCAGCCAATCAATCAACTGAGGCGACAAGAGACAGACAGACAGAAAAGAAGAGGGAAAAGAAGGGCAAAATCAACAAACGATAAACGAGGAAAGAAGAGTGGTAATAGAGTATTGGTGATTTCAATTTGCAAATTCAATTTTAACTTGCACCACACTCTTTTGAGCTAGTAGTTTCGGAGTTGAGCTTTAAAGGAGAGAAACGACAGAAAGAGAAAGAGAATAGAGAGATCAATGCGACGGCGCCGGACTGGGCGTCATCGAGGGCGGCGGCTGCGGCGAGGTGGAGGAGATCAGTGCCGCCTGACGGGCGGCGATGCTCGGCTTGACGTTCCCTCGACTGTAAATTCCACTGCTGCTGCTGCTGCTAATGCCGCTAATTAGAGGCGGAGTAGGCGTGGCAGCCTCTCTAGAGGAGGACAGATTCCTCGGCTTCGGTGACACCTCAGGTTTCTGGCCCATCGAGGCAACGCGAATGGGCGGCTTGGGCTTGATTTCCGGTCGTCCGGTGGTAGAGGTAGAGCGCACCGGCGGCACTGGGCGTACTTGGGCGTTGCTGCTGCTGCTGTTTACTGCTGAAGACGGCTCAGGGGTTACTGAGGGGCTGATAAAAGATGACGTTGAGGAAGGTGGTAGGTAGTAGTCGGGAGAATGCGCCGCCGCCGCCGCCGCCGCCGCCACTGTCTGGTAGTCACTCGTCGAAGAGGTGATCGACGACTTTCGGCGCACCTTCTTGCTCTTGTCCACCACGGCGTAGATGTCCTCGCTGATTGAGTTGTTGGTGCTGTGGTTGCTGTTGTTATTGTTGTTGTCATCTCGTTCAGCTCTTGAAGTCAGCGGCTTTGATGTCGGCGGCGGCGGTTGTGTACTGGTGCTCGACTTTGCACTCAAACTGTCCATCGGTGATTGATGGTGATTAGTAGTTGTACTGGTGATTGGCTGACTTGCTCCTTTGCACTGCTGCTGCTGCTCGCCTCGCTGCCTCTCCTTTTCCATCTCCTCTACCGCCTTCTTCTTTCCCTTCTCCTCCTCCTTTCGATGACTTTCATATTTCACGGTGTTGACTTCTTCTTGATTAGCATTTTCACCGCCACTTTCGCCGGTCTCGAGCATTGCGTCCTGGCTGGCCTCGTCCAGTGCTCTAAACTTTGCCGCCACAAGAAACACCTGACTGGCGATCCCTTTCTGTTTGAAGAAGTTTAACTTGCTGCCGGTGGTGGTACTCTTTGCTGCAGCGGGTGCAGCAGTAGTAGCAGTGGAAGAGGAGACAGTCGTCGTTGAGGTAATTTGTCCTTCTTTTGTTGTTGCTGCTGTTGCTGCTGCAGCTGTTGTTGTTGTTGAAGTCATCTTGCTGTTGATGTTTGGAGCGACAGTTGTACTAATCTTGCACTGAGCACTGTCACCACCTGAAGGCTTTACCTCAACAGCAACCACCGGTTTTTTGCTGCTGATTTCATCCGGTGCAGCTTTAGTGCCATTTTCCGTTGTAGTAATCTTTGTCGTTGATGCAGCAGCATTAGTGTTGATCAGCGGCTGTTGCTGAGCGTTTGTGGTGGTAGATAATGAGGTTNTGCTGCTGATTTCATCCGGTGCAGCTTTAGTACCATTTTCCGTTGTAGTAATCTTTGTCGTAAATGCAGCAGCATTAGTGTTGATCAGCGGCTGTTGCTGAGCATTTGCTGTAGTGGAGGATGAAGTGGCTGCCGGAGTTGTCACACCACTACCTCCTCCTCCTTTTCCATTGTTGTCCGTGGTAACCTGCACCTCATTGGCCGCCGTCACGTGAATGTTGTACTGCTCAAGGACAATCTGGTAGGCAATCTCAAAGGCCTGCCCCAGCGTGAGGATGATTTCAGTGACTAGATCCTGGCAAAACAACAAAGTAGAGTTGTCAAATGCACCAAAACTTCCTTCATTTTTTTGTTCTTACCGTCTGCTGGGACATGAACACATGACAGTAGTGATTGTTTGACTCGAGGTCCTTGGTAATGTAGGCAAAGTAGTTCAGATCCTCGCTGTCCTGGCAGATGCAGTGAATGTTGCGAATCTCGTGCTCGCAGATTAGATGCTGCATAAAAAAAACAATTTGCTTAGTTTGAAATTACCGGAAAAAAACCAAACACAAAACTCACATTCGACTTAAAGTCCCGAAACTGCACGCCCTGACAGCTGATGGAGAGAATAATCTTGGGAATCTGCATCGGCGGCACTGACGCGTGGGCCGACTTGAGCTTGCCCATTGAGGCACGCGTCGAATCAATGCCCCTCAACTCGCGAACCAGCGTTGAGCCCAAGTAGCGGACCGAGTACTGACAGCAGCCGCTGAGCAGCTCCTGTCGCGGGTGCTTCCACTCTTTAAATGGTTTGCTTCCGTTTTGCTTTCCATCACTGATCAGCTGTCCATCGGACTGCTCCTTCTCCGTCTCATTGGCCGACGACTGGACGTCCGTCAGCCAAGAGGCAATGTCCTGAGGCAATGTGCGGGATTTTGGTGTGTCAGCAAACAACAAATCGCATAATTTGTGAACAGTCAACAACAAGGTCACTCACATCATCATCCACCAGAATGGACTCCCGGTTAAAGTCACTGAGGGAGTACATGATCCGCCGGCGGTAGCCACTGCGGTCAATCTCCAGCATCGTCTCCAGCTCCACCTCCCAGATGTTGTGCACCTTGCGCAGCTCGTCGATGCCATTCCGCGCAAAGCTCTCCCGGTACTGCTCCAGGTGGAGCATCGCCAGCCACTCGGGCACCGTCAGCGTGCGAATCTCCGCCTTGGTCAGCTTGGGCGCCGTTTTCGGAAGCAGAGCGGCCGCCCCCAGTATCACCTCGCGGTGAGCGGCATTGACGATGCCAATCTCCAGCAGGTCAGAGTCGTCCATCACGTTGGCGTCCTGGGGAAAAGAAATTCAGCTCTAAAATGATCGCTTCAGCTTCAACTTACCATAAAGTGCAGGTCATCATAACCGTTGGCAATGAGCAGGTCTTTGTACGTCTCCATGCCCATCTCCTTCAGCCATCGGTACAGCTGATGTGTACGTTGAATGTTACTTGCCGCTCGATTGCTCGCCGCCTCAGACATCTGTCCACCTCTCGCCGACTGCGCCTTGAGCAGGTTGTTCCAGCTTTCAGAGCCGACTAGGCCGATTCGATTGCTGTTGCCGTTATTGCCACCAGTTCCACTGTCAAAGCTGACCGCAGCAGAAGCACCTCCGCCAGACTGATGGGGAATATTAGCACCGCCAGATGAGCCTAAACCAGCTAATGAGGTAGAAATCTGGTCGCCATTGAGACTCTTGCACTTCTTCTTCGACTTGCGCAGCGTCGCGTAGATGTTCTGCACTGGGCCGATGCAGCTGTGATGGTTGCCACTACCGTCAATGGTGTTTGTAGTGTTCTCAGAAGCAGATGTCGTCGTTGTGGTCTGCACTTCCGGCTGATACACCGACAGCTTACTCAGCTTGGTCAGCGACTCGGCACGTCCGCTGAGGATGGCCCGCTTGCCGCGCAGCGATTTCCTCGCTTCGCTCAACTCTACCGTCTTCTTCTTTGCCCTCTCCGGGGCTGTTGGCTGAGTTGCTGCTGTTCCTGTCTGACCATTGGATTTTCCCGCCGCTGTTTTAGCCGGCGTCAGCCCACCTCGACAGAGTCCTGCAAAGGGATTGCCCTTTTCGCCCTTTCGGTCAAAGTGCAGCGTCTCGCAGTAGGCGTTGTAGCCACTGCTGCCGTTTTTCACCGCTGCTGCTTGACCGACTTTTCCCGTCGGCT